AATTGACCAGCTATAATTAGTCCTAGCCAACATGGCCAAAGAAGTGATGGAGTTCTAATTGAACCACCATGTGAAAAGCTACATATTTCCCACTCCTTTTAGATTTTATCTGGACAATCCAAACCAATAAAATACCATAAACTAACTTTGGGGTCTTGTAGGTCAGGCATTACAAAACTGAGGGACAGGTCGAAGCCCCCAAACCATCTTGCTAAATGCCAGAGTTTCGGGAACTGTTGTTAAACTGAAGTTCCAATGCTAAGCTTAAGGAATCAGCTTGTGGTGTGTTGAGAAAATCTGGCTTCACTTCAGGGGATACAGAGTTAACTGTCCCTCAATTTCTGTACATCCAGAGTGAGCAACTGTGAAGAAACTAGCAGAAAATGGGTTAACTGGATCCTCAAATTCCTTTAAAATCCTAAAATTAAATGAGCGGAGCAAACTGAGAAGAAAATGGTAATTTAATTAGACATCACTAACTTCCGTGTGAGTGTTCTCTTTCTTTGAAGTGTCTTTTGAGAACTGGAGAATGCTTGGGTTTTTGTGGCATGCTGACTCCTTGCACCTGGGGAGATCATGGGCACTCTTGCAGCAATAGCCAATTCATTGGCTTAATCTGACTAGTGGAAAGACTTGAGCCAGTTTATGAGGGGATGATGGAGTATAAGGTCAGCTTGTACATGGGCTTGCTAGGCAGCTCTGAGCTTTGCCATGCCAGCTTCAACAGGTAACCCAGGTGGCCCACTGCTGATTTTTTTTTATTTTTTAATGATTGGATACCATGCTACTTTGTGAGTACAGATTAAGATTAAATAGCTTTTATTGTTTTCAATGGGAATGACTCCTAATTGCCTCAAGCTGCTTGTGTTTTCCTCATTATGGAACTGCTTCATATTATCATTTTGTCAGAGTCATTAAGTCTGCTTCTGAATGTGTATGCTTTGCTAGAATTTATTCAATAAAAATAATAAAAATGTTACAGCTTTTTCTTCATTCAGACAGCTGGATGGGTTGTAGGTACCAAGCCCCGTCTCTTATGCACTCAAAGGCCTTTTAAATATTTCTTGTAGGTTTTAGGTTTTCTACCTTGCAGGGTTGGTTATAAACAGGTGCAACAACTGCTTGTTTTAATCTCCCGGGTGCACCAAGGAGCAAGTGGCTCAGAAGGGCACTTACAGGAGGCTTTCCCAATCACTAATGCACTGACCCACCTGGCAAGCACCCACAACAGGTAACATAAGGGTAGTGTGGCTGAGTTGTAAATGGATCCTCTACCTGTTGCCCTGGCATCCTTCATAGCAACCTATAGAGGTGCAGGGTCCGCACACTAGCAGCCCTGGACTTTTGAGGGCTGTGTCCACTCTGGTGCCCCCCCCATGGAAAGGAAAGCATAGGGTTGCTGAAACATGCCATTTAGGACCCTACCATATGGGCACAGGACCCTTTCTTCTTTTCTGGGTACGAAGGATCCTGCAGCTCATTTTGCTGCAACAGTAAATAGTTGGCAGGGATCTCCTAGCACCTTGTATAGAACTGGTGCACAAGGATGACAGTGAAACCCATCATGACTGAGCTCTGTGTGCTATTCAAGGTATGATGTGGGTGTTAGTTTCTCCCATACCTTGTCAGAGATCGACTGACAGATTTCCCTAGTACTGAATGAAGAAAGATGGTATTTTCCCCCTCCCCAAACAAGCCCCCAACTGTACAGCTGGGTAGGGAAATTTTGGCTGACCAAATATTTCAGGCTTCAATCCTCAGCCAGCCTAGTCGACATTAAGGGATTGTGGGAGGTGTAGTCTAAAATATCTGGAAGACCAAACATCTCCTGCCCCTGACTTACATGCATTTGTTTAAAAAGTCCATACATTTCAGGATCATTCATTTGTGGGAGCAACATATCCTTTCAGTAGGTAACAAGTAAACCTTGCAACGAAAAGTTAACTATGGGGTTCTTTGAGCTACTTCCATCTTTTTTGAGTAGTTTGTCAATACAACAGACTGCTCCTGAATTATCCTTACACGTCAGGCCTAATTGAGCTGGATGCCTGTCATATGATCCCGACTAGCAGTTCCATGTTCAGTTAAAGGGCAATGGACCTGAGTCCTTTTTTCAAAATGGGAAAGGGATCACACATATGGAGCCATATCTTTTGCTAGGAAAAGGTTTGGTTTAGTTTTGAGAGAGAGGAGTTTTCTTTAGATTCAGGGATTCAGTTGTGCCTGCTGATACTCTTTTCTGCCACATGTGGAGGAAAGTCACCTTCTGGGGACTATAATTCCCAGAATATCCTGTTTTTATTTTGCTACATAGGTATTGTCATTTTGTCCTGAACATCAGAAATAGAAGGAATAGTTAAGAAGAGTTGAAGAGTGGTGCTTTAAGCAGTCAGAACCCAAAACAACCAACTATGAAAAGGCTACCCATCAAAGCAGAAATTTCAACAGCCCAGTGAGACCAACAGCAAGAACCTGGCCAAGACAACTAGCTAGCGTGATAGAGGAGGTGGAAGAAATGTTGAAGCTAGGGGTCATTGAACTATCGAAGGGACCCTGGCGTAGTTATCCAGTGGTTGTGCCCAAGCCCGATGGGTCCATAAGATTTTGTATAGATTATCGGAAGGTCAATATGGTCTCTAAATTCGATTCATATCCAAGCTAGGGGGCGGCAGATACCTTTCGTCTATAGACCTGATGAAGGGTTACTGGCAGATACCTTTAAAGGCTCAGGATAAGGGGAAAACGGCATTTTCCACACCAATTGGACTTTTCCAATTATCAAAAATGCCTTTCGGGCTGCATGGTGCAGCTGCAACATTCCAGCACCTCATGCATAAGGTCCTGACACTGGTACAGGATTGTGTGGCAGCCTATATTGATGACATCATCATATATAGCACTTCCTGGGAGAACATCTTACCCACCTTTGTAGGATATTAACAGAGTTGAGAAGGGCTGGGCTGACGGATAATCCCAAGAAATGTAAAATAGCCCTGACCAAGGTGGAATACTTAGGATTCAAGGTGGGTAATGGGGAAATGCAACCTCAGGAAGAGAAAGTGACCAAGATAACCCAATGGTACCGGCCACATACCAAGAGAGAGGTGCAGCAATTCCAGGGGCTAGTGGGATACTATCAACGATTCGTGCCCCAATTCTCCACCCTAGCCACTCCTTTGACGGACCTAACCAAGAAGCGGGCACCCCAGTGGGTTCAGTGGGGAGAATCTAAAGAAAGTGCTTTCCAAACTCTTAAATCTATTTTGCGTGAACTTCCGACCAGGTTTACCCCCAATTTCAATCTCCTCTTTGTCCTGTTTACGGATGCATCAGATCGTGGTCTGGGGACAGTGCTGTCTCAGGTGCGCAATGGTGTACAGTATCCAGTCTTATATCTGAGTCGCAAGTTGACCCCTCGAGAAAGTATGCTGTAATTGAAAGAGAGGCCCTAGCTATAAAATGGTCTGCTCATGCTCTCAGATATTATTTGTTGGGGGGGCCCTTTACCCTGGTGATGGACCACGCTTCCTTACAGTGGTTAAAGGTAAAGGTAAAGGTTCCCCTTGACAGTTTTTGTCCAGTCATGTTCGACTCTAGGGGGCAGTGCTCATCCCCGTTTCCAAGCCATAGAGCCAGCATTTGTCCGAAGACAATCTTCCGTGGTCACATGGCCAGTGCGACTTAAGACACAGATCGCTGTTACCTTCCCACTGAGGTGGTCCCCATTTATCTAGTTGCATTTGCATGCTTTCGAACTGCTAGGTTGGCAGGAGCTGGGACAAGTGTCAGGTGCTTACTCCATCACGTGGATTCGAACTTACAGCTGAAGATCTACAGACCTTACAGCACAGAGGCTTCTGCGATTTAACCCGCAGTGCTACCACGCCCCTCTACAGTGGTTATCACAGATGAAAGACACTAGCCCCTGTCTCACTCATTGGCATCTTGCCCTCCACCCCTTTGCTTTCACCATATAATACAGAAAGGGGAAAGAACATCCTAGCGTAGACTATTTTTTCAGCAGAGCGAGGTGGAGTGGACGGCCCTCTTGGATGGAGGGTATGTAAGAAGGAAGGAGAGAAACCCCTCTCTTGGAAGTGCCGTCCCTCCCGCCAACTGCTGAGAAAGAGAGCCAGACCCCACCAGTTCCCTCATCCCAGAAGACAAGACCTCCCAGACTGGACCCAGGGAATTTGGATGGAGATTTGAAAGGACTCATGATCACAGAACCCGGGATTATCTTGGTGGGCATGGGAGAAATAAGGCGGGACATAGTGGGGTTAGGGGATATAAAAAGGGGGGGAGTTGCCAGTAGGCTGGGAATGGATCTGGGTGAAAGATCCACGGACAGGGAGGACAGAGAAACTGGGTGTCCCCAAGGAAGAAGCGGATGCTCGGAGGAAGCGTGAGTTAAACCCCAAGCCATCATACTGGGTTGAACGAGAGACTAAGGAGTGGAGGAGGAAGTTGAGAGAGGAAAGAGAGAGAGAGAAGAAAGAGAATGGAGGGAGAGATTAGAATGGAGAATTTGGGAGAACCAACAGAGAGAGTTTCTGGAGTCCCATGGGAGACGGGTGAACCCCCTAGGGAGTGTGACTAGGTGGACATTCGATAAGAAGACACCATCCCCTACTGGAAGGAGAGCAGGGATTATTACTGACATCTAACCCCTCCCCCAAGTGGCCTGGACCCTGGACTAGCCAGTGTAAGAACCCTTTCAAAATCGACAACTTGAACCCCCCTTCAAACCTGTTGTCAAAGGGGGAGAATGTTTGGAATGGTTTTGTTGATACCGGATTGTTGATACCCAATAAATGTTACCCCCCATTTCCAAACCAAGAAGAGCGGGTATATTCTTTGAAAAAAGAGTTGGAGCCGACTACAGAACCCTCACACCCAGCACTGATTATTATTTTTTGCCACCTCAGGATGCTTCTATCACTTCCCAATGAAACAAAACAGACTCATAGTCACCATGGCTATACAAGACACACTCCCAGTTTAAGTGTTACAAGAAGAGTTTTACTGCAGAATACTGTATGTTTTACTGATTACTCATGTGTGATTTCAAATTAGTGTCTTAGGTCTTACTGCCTGTCCCAATGAAAGCAGACCAGTTGAATCAATTGCTGGATTTTAAGTCAATCCTTACGCAAATCATGCAGAGCTAATGCACCTACTCTAGCTGGGGCTAGTAATAGAATATGAGTGTATACATGCAATTATTCTTAATATAACATACTGTGTTTTTATAACTGTTTTTAAATAATTTGTGAGCCATCTTGGGTCCCTATATTGGAAGAAAGATGGCCAAAAAAAAATAATGAAATGACTATTTTGTTGCTGCTGCAAGTGAGAGATGTGTAGCCCCTGTTCAGCAACCACATGTAATTTGCTGGCAAAAATTTGTGAGTAGAAGAGTTGCCCCCCCCCACACACTCTTCATGTGTTTCAAATGCCACAATCCTTGAAACTATGCCTACAGAGGATTTGCCATAAACAGGGGGGGGGGGAACCAGAGATTTTACATATAGTATTTATTGCATTCACATTTCTAGTTCTTTAAATCCTGTGCAACAAGCCATCATCCAGAAAGGTACTTATAACATAGGAATATATTACTGATATTTGTCAAATGTATTTTTATATACACAAAGGCCTCTTCAATTTTCCATACAAAAATGTTGTGATTGTGATCTAATGAACAACCATTGGCCCATCTTACAATACAAGCAACCTGATCTCTCATCTCAGTTTGCCCCACATAGCCATCTGTTTCCCTAGGAAATATTTAGATGCCCGTCAAAACCACATGTAGATACATTACAAAAACAGAACGTTTGAATCAAGTGGCTTGATTCTCTTAAACATATTTCTTGATCTCGTCATACAAGACTAATACAAAAGCGCCACCCATTCCTCTCAACACATTGGACCAGGCGCCTTTGAAGAAAGCTTTGCCTCCTTCATCTTTCGCTATTTTCTTCCAGCAGTCAATTGTGCCCTTGTACATGATATCAGCTGTGGAAGATAACATGTGCAGGTAAATTATCTTGTAACCAAAGGTGTCTTATACAGAGAAAACAAACATTGGAAAGCAATGCACAATGCTCCCCTCCAATCCCACTGCTCAAAACTTTTTTTAAAAATGCTGTTCTCCAGTCTTCACTTACACTAACTTCAACAAGGTTAACAATGAAACTATCCCCCACCCCTGTCTTTCAAACACATTTATATGTATCACCATATTCTGGGACTAAGTAGAGATTGGAAAAAGTCCAAATGAATGGCCAGCAGGTGGGTGGGGTATTCTGGCTGCTATATAAACATTTTGGAACCAAACCCTGGAATCAAATGGCATTGCTCAAAGAAAAATTCTTAATATTATTAAGGCTGTAATTCTATACATACTGATCTAGCACAAAATCAGTATGTACTTTGAGATGAATGGTCTTACTTCTACATAAATGGAGTTGCTCAAATTACATCTGTTTCCATTTTACTTCTTAAGATGGGAAGGTTCCTACTTTAAGTCTCCCAATTTCCTCAACCCTTTCAAGAATGGGGAAAAAAACCTGAAAGGAAAGAAAATGAAAATTATTTATTTAAAATTATTTTAAAACAAAGGCTTATGTTCTCACCTCCTTTCCTGCCAGACTGCATCATCATCCTACGTCGGACAGTGTCAAAAGGATAGGATACCAGCCCGGCGACAGCAGTTACACTCTGGGCTATCATCCAACTCACAACAATGTGCACGTTCTTCGGGTCAGGCAGCATACCTGTCATCAAGAGCAGATTGCCCAAAGAGATGCCCAGGACACAAGGGCAGAGGGAGAGAAAGCTGTTAGTAACATCTCACTGCTTCTGCGTCACTCACAGACAAGATCACAATGCCAGACAAGTTGTGCGTCACATTCTATTAATGCAAATCCACACAGCAGAGAAACACATAATTTAGTGACAAGAGAACTGCAGAGGAAATTATTTTACATGATTGTCTGAAAGAGATAAAAACAGATTTCAATAACAGTCAGGTTTAGGGTGCCTAAAGTTTGTACTGGATGTACTTCTTTAACCATGAGTCACAGAAAAAAATCAGTTGTGATACAGGAGGATACTGTTGCTTTGTACTCTGAGGGAGAGCTATGAGTCTGCTAAGCACATTCTTCCCCCAAGAAGCTCAGCGTGGAAAATAGGATATTATTAAATCTTCTCCTAACAGGCCTGTAAATTTAGGCCTGCCCTTGCAGAGAGTGACAGCCAGAACTCTGTGCCTCAATGGGGCTTAATTCTGAGCAACCATGTACAGAATTGTGCTGCTGGATTTTATGAATCAACAGATTTGTGAACCCAGAACTCCATAGTCCTAATCCAGCATTGTAATGGTCTACACTAATTATTGTTGTTGTTATTATTATGATGTGCTGTCAAGTTGCACCTGACTAATAGTGCTCCTAGTAGAGTATTTAAGGTACAGTAGGGTCTCTACTTAAGAACGTCCCTACTGAAGAACAATCCAACTTAAGAACAGCTCCATTTGCTAAATGTTGTTTCTACTTGAGATCAGAAATCCAAGATAAGAACAGGAAAAAAAACCTTTCCTGCTCTTTTTTTAACCTTAGGTCATCTTAGGTTACAAAAAATTCTCGCCCTAGTGGTAGAGTACGTATTAGCCAGCTTTGCATTAGTTCCTATGGGAACTAATGCTTCAATGTACGAATGCACCTCTACATAACAAAAAAACAGCCAGAACGGATTAATTGGTTTTCAGTCCATTGCTATGGGAAATTTTGCTTCAACTTAAGAACGTTTCAACTTAAGAACACCATTCCAAAGCGGATTAAGTTCTTAAGTAGAGGTTCCACTGTAGTTTCTACGGATGGAAAAGAGCAGATACGGATTAAATGGTTTTCAATGCATTCCTATGGGAAATGCAGATTCAACATAAGAACTTTTCAACTTGAGAACCACCTTCCAATACGGATTAAGTTCTTAAGTAGAGACCCCACTGTATGTGAGATATTTAAGGAGAGGTTTTACTAGTACTGCCTGCAAGTGAGTTTCCATGGCCAAGAAGACATTTGAACCCATGCCTCCTGCCTCCTAGCCCATCACTCTATCCACTGTACTAGTGGTTCTCAACCTTGGGTCCTCAGATATTCTTGAACTAAATCTCCCAGACGTCTTCACCACTAGCTGTGCTGGCCAGGATATCTAGGAGTTGTAGTCCAAGAACATCTGGGGACCAACGTTCTCTCTAATTTTCTGCAAAGCTGCACAGAGGCTCCGCTCCCTGCCTGTGGAGTTCTGGACATAACTGAGTCGGCTGAGCACACCAATGCTCAGCTGCATGCCAGCATGCCTGTGCGGCTTAGAGAGAATGTTGCTGGGGATCCATGGCACTGCACTATGCTGGCTCTCCCATACTACCACTACATTCTCTTTTAAAATGGCTGTTTCTGCCAGATCTCTACTATCAATTGAACATTAAAGAAATGTGTTCTTTGGCAACTAGGGCATCTTTAACTTTAATGAGGTATTCAGCTGTGTCTCCCTTTTAAAAAGGCATTTTGTCTATGTGAGGGAGTATTACATGACGGAGGGAGTTTGCCAAATGATAAGAAGCTTTTCTGAGGCTAGCACAAGAATGTCCATAGGGATTTTTCAAGGTGAAGGCCAAAGCTGCAGTGGTATAATTTAGTTAGCTTACTCAGAGACTGTCATCAGCCTATCAAGCCAAGAAGGAACTACTGGCAAATATTTAATAATCCAATCAACTAAATCCAAGTCTAGACCATGTTCTGCCAAATTTCAATACCTCTGCCAACCTCACCAGACACCCCTTGCTTACCCTTAGCTGTATCATAGACGCCAAAATATGCTGCTCTGTAAATGATGATGCCCTGGACTGACACATTGAATCCCTGGTAGAGACCCCTGAGGCCATCTGATTTGTAGATCTTGGCAATACAGTTGCCCAGCCCAGTGAACTGCCTCTCATTCAGCCCTTTGCCCACGTCGGCAGCTAGCCTGGTCCGGGCGAAATCCAGAGGGTAAACAAAGCAAAGTGAAGTGGCTCCAGCAGCACCCCCGGAGGCCAGGTTGCCTGCAAAGTAGCGCCAGAATTGCTTGTGCCTGTCCACACCCCCGAGGAAGATCTGCTTGTATTTGTCCTTGAAGGCAAAGTTGAGGGCTTGGGTGGGGAAGTATCGGATGACATTGGCCAAGTTGCCTCTCCAGAAGGAAATGATGCCCTGCTCCTTGGGGATCCTTACCACACAGTCTATGATCCCTTTGTATTGGGTTGCGGCTGTGATCTGTTGGCTGGCATGCTGGACCTGTTAAAGAAAATGGGTGGAGTAGAGAAGGGGAGGTGGGGAAATGATGATGCTGACCCATGACAGGGTGTACAAGGTCTCTACATAAAGAGATACCCATTCCTATATTTGCACTGGAAGCTTTCTCTTTCAGTGCCAAAGCTGATCATCTCCTTTCCTTTGAAGAAGTGGGATGCAGTTCACAAAAAGTTATACCAAATAAAACATGTTCATCTTTAACGTCCCACAAAGCCCTGCTGTTTTTTTTACAACAGACTACAGCTACCCTTCCAAACATATCTGAGATTGATAGCACTTAGCACATCATCCATATAAAGAGTTACACAGAATTTACAGCTAAAATAACTTGTATCAGAACAGGGTCAGCCCTGCTGTTTTTCCTACAACAGACTACAGCTACCCTTTCAAACATATCTGAGATTGATAGCACTTAACACATTGTACCTGCAAAAGAGTTACACAGAATCTATAGCTAAAATAACTTGTATCAGAACAGGGTCATTTCTCTTGCCTCCAACCCTAATCAAATAATTATGTTTTCCTTGGCGAGATATGTGCCATCTTGATTTCCTCATAATTGCCTTGATAAGAAAAAAAGGCATATACTATATAAAAAAGGACAATATCCATGCTTTCTTCCATTTCTGTGGCCATCTCAAGAAAAGTCCTTCAACTGACCTCTACTCCACTGTGAAACCATTGATCTCACAGCAAAACACACACCTTGGATTAGTTAAATGTCAGAGTGGGATTTTTTTTTCAGTGGGACTTTTTCAGGTTCAAGTGCATGCTGCCATGAAGCTCCAAGGGTGACCACAGGACAGTCACTCTCATTCAGCCTGACCCACATCATAGGGTCAATGTGAGGATAAAGTAAGGACAAAGAGGCATGCATACACAGCCCTCAAGCTCACTGGAGGAAGGGCAGGACAGAAATGCAGCCAGGAGTGCTCACAAATAAAAATATATGTGCAAGTGCCACTTCTGTAGTTTCATTCCTAGTGGATTTTGCATATCTAGACGTAGGCTATGGTCCACGACAATGTATGTCAAATAAAAATTGGTTAGTCTTTAAGTTGCTCATTAGACTAGATGGCTCCCCCTCTACGGAATATTAGGATTTTGAGCAGAATTTTTAGTACGCTGAGTTCTAGTTTTCATGATACATACTCTTGATTTAATGAGTAAAGCCATCTCCTGTTCAAAACTTATGTGTGTGCGATGCTCCACCTGTGGAAGCTGCTGCACTGACCTGACAAAGTACTGATTGAATGTGACCAGGCACACTCCCAGCATCTATCTCATCAGATCACAAGGCAGGCTCTGCAGCTAGAGTTTTACACATGTAAATACTGAACAAGATATTGAATGGCCTATATCTATATCAGTATATACACACAGAGGGGGAAAACGCTTCATGTTGGAAGGCATTTGTTATCCCAACACTCAGCACACTTGCGGATCTGTGCTATAAAGAGAGGCAGAGGGAGGGGAAGAGCTGTGCTAGTCCATGTAACCAGAACCGTGCAAGTGGAGTTTCTATATTTAGTCACTTCTCTCTTGCACCCATCTGACACTGGAATTTCTCCTCCACTCCGGACTCATACATCTACGCATGTAGTTCCACTGGAGAAAGCATGTTCCTTAGACATCTAAAGTCTATATATCCTTCCGAAGGCTGAACTCTTGTCATCATGACCATCATTTCTTTAAAAGAGTTCATGAGCTACGGTGCCAACAGTAACTCAGTCTGGGAGAACCGTCCCTGTTTTTTGACATTGACCTTCGGAAGAATGTCATAGAACGATGCAGTTTTTTTTCCTGCAACAGGTGGGAGTTAATTTTTCCCTCCCGGAATCTCATCCCGACTGAGAAACGCAGTGGTTCCGCCTTACCTGTAGCAGCAATTTCACTCTTTCAATGGGCGCTACGGCAGTTTTGGAAATGGCAGCAGCAACGCCACCAGCCAAAAAGTCTTTAAGGAAACTGAGAGCTTGGTCAGCCATGACGGGGCCAAAATCAGAGCGAGACACTGACTCCCTTCCTGGAGCTTTTGAGGTTTCTTCTTCTTTTTTTTTAATTCAGGGAGCTGTCCCCAGACACCTCCCCACCCAGCTGCGCCCCCCGCGATCCAAATGGACCGTCCTTTACCTTTTCCACCTATTTATAGCCCCTGTGGGTCTCGCGATAAGAGGAAGGGCCCCTCGGGGGGCCGGTCCGCGCGTACATTGGCTAGGACCCCCCGGCCCGTGAAGGGGCATCGGGGCAAAGCCGCCATGCTGTTCTTTCCCACAGGGCTAGCCCTGGCGCGAGGGACGTCGGCAAGGGCAAACTAAAGTTATCGGGTCCCCTCTTGGAGAACGCAATGTCACGGCATGTGCTCGCGGTGGGGGGCTATTAATAGCGCCGGCGAGGAGGCGCAGGACGGCTCCCCGGGCGGAGGGGGGGGAAGGAAGGCGGGAGGCGGGCGAGGGCCGCCAGTGCCTCGGGCAAAGGCGTTCACCCTTTGACGGGGCGGGCGGCAGCGTCCTCTCCAAGCGCCACTGGCCGAGGTGAACAGGAGCGCCGAAGCGCCAGCCCCTCCGGGCAAGCCAGCATCCGCCGCCACCGAGGAAGCGTTCTTCTCTTCAGGGTCGTTAGGGCAGTCGGGATGCTTATAGAAACAGCCGTTTCTCCCAGGGGTTTGTGGTTTTATACCGTGGTCCATTCATTCACACGTACACGCAAGACAGCATATGTGGCTGCATTCACGTAAATGCAGCTGCATACGCACGACGTGGTTACCTGCTGTCAAGTCGCGATGTCCAGCCTGTCCTGTCCTCAACAGCCCTGCCCAGCCCTATGAATGAGCGATGTCCAGCCCGTCCTGTCCTCAACAGCCGTGCCCAGCTCCTGCAAACTCCAGCCTTTGGCTTCCTTTACAAAGCCCATCCATCTCGCATTTGATCTTCCTGATTCCCTACTGCCTTCAACCATTCACACCTATATGTGAATGGACATAATATAACTGTTTATTCCTATCATACTACCTGAGAGGTGCTAAATTGGAGCGATGTCCAGCCCGTCCTGTCCTCAACAGCCGTGCCCAGCTCCTGCAAACTCCAGCCTTTGGCTTCCTTTACAAAGCCCATCCATCTCGCATTTGATCTTCCTGATTCCCTACTGCCTTCAACCATTCACACCTATATGTGAATGGACATAATATAACTGTTTATTCCTATCATACTACCTGAGAGGTGCTAAATTGTGTGTGTGTTTTTTTACGTTACTTGCAAATCAGTTTTTAGGGTAAAAATCTAAGACTCTCCAGAAATGGCTTCCAACAATTGACACACAATGTAGACCAAAAATTTTTTTTAATGTGCTAAGACAGGAAACATGGCAATGGTTTCTACAAATGGACTAACATATTGTAACAAGAATTGCGTTGCACAGTGTTCCCCCCCCCACTTGATGGTCTCTGGATGGGTTCAGTAGTAGGTCCCATTACCAGACAGCCAGAGGTGAAGGGTTAGTAGGAGCTGGCAGGAGTTGTAGTCAAACATATTTAGAAGGTGCTAGATTGGGGAAGCAATAACTTTTGAGCCTGGTCTTCAAATATGAGCTCAGTAATTTACACCTTCGATTGGGTGCAATGAGAGTTCCATCCTAGTAACGTATTTGTCCTGCTTGGTGAACTTTTGCTTTCAATACGCCACCTTCCCCCCCCCCCCCCCCCGGCGCCTTAAGCAGATACCTGAACCACAGACAATAATTAGTTGAAGATTCCTCCATAATTGGTGGACCCTCCAGGTGAATGAAACAGGTTCTTGACCTTCTGTGTAGCATAGAACTTGTCAAAAACACAACAGATTGCTAAGAAAATTAATAACCTAGTTTTATAACAAAGCCTGTGGAAAACGTTAGCAAAATTCTTGATATACATGGTGGTATCTCAATAATAATAACAACAACAATAATAACAATGATGATGATGTGGCATCAAATCAATTCTGATTTATAGCAAGCTTTTTTTGGGGGGGGGGTTCTAGGTAGAGAGTTTTTATAAATGGTTTACCATTCTCTACTGGGAGGTATCCTGTGACTGTGCAGCTTGCTCAAGGCCACACAGTATGTAAAGCAAGACAAGGCTCCTGTAGCCTTAAAATTTGCACAGGAAAAGGAATTTTGCAGATGCTTCGGGTCATGTGGGGATGAAAGATGCTGTAGCTAACATTCTCCCTTCTCACTTAAAGACTCGGGAGCTGTCTTTTGCATACAAGATGTGGTCCTGCTATCTTAAAATATATTTTAATTTCAAGTGAGCATAGTGAGGGCTGCCTTCTGATATGTCCATTATATTGAGAATGCCTACCCACCACTTTCTACCTGAGCTGTCAATTGCTTGCCAGTATAAATCTTTTCCAATGGTTCGGATTAGGAGTGAGGAGATCTGGGTACACCATTCTGCCATCAAGGTCATTGGATGAACCTGAGTCAGTCATACTCTCTCAGCCTGACCTACTACTACACGGGGTCATTGTGAGGATAAAGTGGGGTGGAGATGGAGGAGAGTCATGCATGCCATCAGGGTAAGAGAAGAAGGGTACACACATGGCAAATAACATAAGTTATGGTACTCTTTCTCGTGTGCAGATATGCTTTGCCCTTATAATTCTGTTTGCATGTATAGTTACTCTGAAAGGTAATGGAGGAATGCATATCCATATTTAAGATATTGATCCAAAGATTAGAATTTGGGAGAAGAGCAAGGAAATTGCTTGCAGAATAAATGGCAAAGTATAAAGTTTTGCTGAGCCTCTTTCTGTTGCCATCAGTTTCTCTCCACCGTGGATGTCAGGAGGAGGACGAATTATTTCTCTTTTCCTGGAACCGTCTACTAAGGACAACTGCTGCATGTGATCAGAACCCAAATGTCACTTTTAGCTGGGAAGGAGGCAAGAGCAGGGCTGCAGGAGCACATGACTAGGAAACGGAAAGTTCGTAACTCTAAATGTGAAATGTGAGCACAGGAGGTGCTTGCATGCAGTGTGACATGCTTACTTGCTGACATCTTGTAAGTGGACTGAAATAAACTCTGCAGTATTTGCTGGACAGGCATTTTTGACACAAGAGGTTAAAGATTTGACTTCTATGTTAGCTCAATAAAAATCACAACGTTGGACTACATTGCATACTACTTCTATAGCCTGGAGTACTAGCTACAATAAAGCCTATACTGTAGTGCTAAAAGGTACAAATGTGTTAGTGACCTCTAGAAACGCCAGCACAAGGCCTGTTTTCTGTGCGTTTGCTAACAGCTTGAAGAATAGAAATCAGCAGCTTTTCATAGCATGGAAGTAAACACAACTACCCATAAACTTCTGTTACAAACAATATACAATGATTAGTATAAAAGGTGGAGACCTAATCACAACATACAAACATGTTATAAAGGAGAATCTGAAATGACCTTCAAGTCTGCAATCCCATCCAACTCCACCTAATACTTATGTCTTAGAAAATATGCCTGCATGTATCTGGTGTGAAAATAACATATTTCTCATGCAGTGTACAACTGTAATGTCCCTTAGGTATGGTTCTCATCATTAGAGTAGATCAGCCTTCTCCAGTTGGATGTTCCATGAATGCTTAAAACGACAGCTCCCATCCTTATTGCCTACTAATCATGGTGGTGAAGTTTATGATAGTCTAAAACAATGCTTCTGAACCTTTGGTGACCCAGGTATTCTTTGACTGCATCTCCCCAAAACCTCAGTCAGCACAGCTGGTGGTGAAGGATTCTGGGAACTGCAGTCCAAGAACATCTGGGTTACCCAAGGTTGGGAACCACTGGTTTAAAACATTGGGAGGGCAATAGGTTGGGAATGTGAAGCATGCTTGCTTGATTTCTCAGTTTCCACCTGAACACCTCCAGCCCATCTTCTGCCATTGTGTTTCTTTTATTTATAGATCTTTGTTTCTACTTTGGAGTGGACAGCATGTGGCCCTCCTAACATCTGGGACTGCAATTCCCATCACCTTAGCCAGCACACCCAATTGTGAGGAACAATGGGAGTTGTAGTCCAACAGCCTCTAGAGGCTTCTGGTTGCCCACCCTGGATCTAAATTCTGTATGGCCAATATTGTGAAATTTGTTCAGCCTAACTCAACCTTGTCCTCTCTAGAGAGATATTGGACTACAAGTTCCTGAACCCATTAGCCAACATTACACTATTATGCATAACATCATAGATGGCTGAGGGATTCTGGGCTTGCGCTCCAATATTTGCAGACTATCAAGCTGCAGAAGGCTGGTCTGTATCCTACTCATTTTGCACTTGAAATTATGTTTTGTATATACAGTACTGGACATCAGAACAACTTTTCAGTAAAGTCTTGAGCAGACTTTGCTCATTGTTGGTAGTGTAATAAACCCAGTGTGTCTCTTAAACATTTGCTCTAGCTATGTCCAGTCATAACTTTTTGCCTGTTGGGAAAATAATTATGTATACTAACTTTGTACTGGAGATATCTTTGAATTTTCCAGATGCACACATTTTGCTAAATCATCCGGCCTATTTAATGGAAATCAGACAACAGTCAAAACAAATGGATCCTCCACCTCCTTGTAGTGGTTAAATGACTAATAGTGTAACCCCGAAAGGAAAAGTGTTCATCCTACATTAATCAATGGACTAGCTAGCATGTACCTGTAGTTCATTTAACATTTGAAAAGGTGGCATTTGGACAGGAACTGTGTGTGAATAGTGCTGGTGTGGACATTTAGTCATCTTTCACTTCAGTCTGTGTTCAGATTTCTTCAGATTCTGGTGGTTTTCCATAGTTGTTAATGTTGCTTTATATTTTATCTTTTTACAGTGGTGCCTTGCTAGACGATGATAATCTGTTCAACTGAAATAGCTGTTTAGCGAAATCATTGTCTAGCGAAAAGCTTCTCCCCATTGGAATGCATTGAAACCTGTTTAATGCGTTCCAATGGGGAAGAATCGTCGTTGTCTAGCGAAGATCGGCCATAGGAAAGCCGCTTTGCGAACCGCCGATCAGCTGTTTAAATCGCTGTCTTGCGAAGCTTAGGTCCCGAAAACACCTGTTTTCCAAGCGTGGAGGGAGCTGTCAAAATAGTCGTCTAGCAAAAATCGGTTTGTGA